ATGTTTTCAGATTGGTTTGTGTTTTTATTTCTGTTGGTAGGGCATTCCAAAAATGTATCCCTTTTACAGAGAAGGATGACTGACCCAAAGCGGTTTTGCGCTGTGCCACCAAATTGCCATTTGCTGATCCCCTAAAAACTAATTCAGGGGACCTTTAGTCATTACTTAAATATATATATTGTTGTGAAATAAAAAATCAAGTTCTGAGATACTGTTAGACTTTTTACTTGTAATTGTTATTTTATTGAGCTTGGATGACACGCAAATTATGCCCATTGAGTCAATATACTATCATGACTTGTCAGAGTTTAACATTTTCAGTTAATCAAAAACGTTAAATACAATTTGTTGACGTTTAAACGGCCCACAGTTTCCCTCTCTTGCATGTGCAGGCATTTTCAAGGTGACCATAGGGCCACAGCTGAAACTCATTGAAGCGTAATGTGTTGAATGGTAAGTAATTTTATGCTTAATTACACATATTTGCATTCACTCAGGATTCTATTGGTAATAGCCTACTGTAACCGAATACCGAAAGTCCTTACTCTGAAATTTGAGCAGTCTGTGTGCCGAGGTAAAGTTAGCTAGTAGCTGTAGCCTGTCATTGATTGAGTAGGCTTAATGCGGGAGTAATAGGTGGCCAGGCAGCCAGGGAAAACGTCTTGGCAAGCTAACTTAATATGGGATTACCCATTAGCCACCTCTCCGGTTAGCATGTAGGCTAGCTACATGTAGTTTAGCTAGACATGATTAGACTGATTCAGATGAGAAGAAATACTAAAGATAACTCGCTAACACAAAACTTCACGTAAGTTCATGTTATAAATGTGTTTTGCGGCCAAAAAGCTTCTTCACCTAATTTAAAACATTATGTTGGATCAACTAAAATACTTGCATTCATGTTGACAATTATTAAGGTCATGTTACTTAGAAATGCGTTTTATTGTGGCCTAAAAGGTAATTCACCATACTCAAAACATTGCTTTGAATTAATGTAATTCTGCCAGCAGTTTTAGCTTAAAAATTCTAGTGGAAAATGTTAACATTTTTTGGTGACCCAATGTTTTATTTTTTAGAGTGGCGATTCTGTTATTATTTGTTTTTGGTCACATATGGACAGCTGGAGTGAGATTATTCACACATTTAAAAATCCATTTGATAAAAAAGAACTTAACTATCATAACTAAGCAAATTATACTTTTTCAGTATTATACAGTGATGCCATTTCATTTGGTTTTGGATATTCTGCATTGATTTTTACACACTGCTTTCTTGATTCGAGATGGGATGCAAATCAGCCAGTTGCTTGCTCAGAAGTTAAAAGTACTTAGTTTGTTCAAAAGCACTTCATGGTTCACAGTATCAAAGGCCTGTTTAAGATCTATAAACACTGCTCCGACTACATTACCCTTTTCTAATGAGGACTTGATTTTTTCAATGAGGTAGCAGTTGGCCATTTCAGTTGAATACCCTGTTCTATATCCAAATTGTTTAGGAGGTTTCAAGGTGGTCAACCAGCTGTTCTGCAACAATTTTTTCCAGAATCTTTGAGAGAACTGGTAGGATAGAGACTGGTCTATAATTGCCTACTCCGCAGGGATTTTATTAAATTAGAAAAGTTGATCTAGGAGGAACATAGGCTATTTAAAAGCAATAGCTACAGAATGCCTGAGAACCTTACTGCATTATATTATCATTTATATTATTCATTTTTTGAAGATTTTGAATTGTCACCTGCTGCCTGAAATTTGTGTTTCTCTTTACACAAATTAAAGACTTTTCCACCATAAATTGAGGTAGAAAAAGCAGAAATTGGTCTTCAATGCTTAAAATTTTCTGGGGGAGGACCCCCAGACCCTCTTCTTCATTTATGTCCCCTCCATCATTGAAACTAAACCAGTGCTCTTTCATTTCAAGAAATCTACCCCATAATGCAAGAAAAAAGTCTCTGGATTGACACAAAGTTTTTGGAGGAACACATATCGGTTTGGTCTCACTGTTTAGGCTATGATGTTGAGGTTGACAAGTATGCTGATCACACTTCAATTCATTATTGACCATGATTACTGACTTGGCTGTTCATGTATACATGCTAAAATTGTGAGATTGGCTGCTGGACATTTAAAACAATTCCCTGTGGATATTAGAGTGATGACCCCAACCCCTGAGGTGGACTTTTTAGGGTTGGACATGGGGGGGCGCTAATTTAAAATCTAGGGCTCCAACATTGTCAGGGCCAGCCCTGTCACCTTTCATATACTTTTAGAATACAACCCCCAGAGTCATATTCCGCTCAAATACGGAAACGCTAATGGGATACAGATATGCTAATGCTCTCTACTGCTGACAGATGGTACTCCCTGGGCAAGCTGTTTTAACAACAAATATACCACATAAATACGTTTAGGTTGAAGCCTTCATGGAGTGCCCTGCATCAGATTTCACTAACCAGCTCTCTTGGCTCATATGGTTACCCTGATAATTGACATGTTTTCCTCTCGTACACACCTGACCTTATTCCTGTCCCTCATGTTTCACGATGACCACAACTGATACGTTGATGCAAACTTCAAACGACTGTTCAATGCTGTTCTCTTCTGGTCAAAAGTGAGACTTCCAACACTTCAGTGGAAGAGGAAGCAGAGGGGGCGACGTTATGAGAACATTCAGACCATTTCACTTGTTACAGCAGGAAAAGCACAAGTGGAACTAAAAGCACTAATGATGGTCCGGTTCCGTCTACAGTAAGTCTCCCAGTCAGCCCTGCCAAAGAGCCAGCGAGCATATTAGCAGGGACCTGGAACATCTAAATACACGGTGTCGTTAAGTAGTGTCATTAGTGATACCTGTGTGTTTCTGCTGTTAAAAAGGTCTATATTACTGCAGACAAATATCTGTTCCTCAGTTTTTAAAATCTTTTAATGTTAAGACTTTATGTTAAAAAAAAATTAAAATTTCAGAACAGGACAGAAGAAATTAGAGAAACAGTAGAAATGCTGAGACTAGCAAGAAACATAGTTAGTCTCTTTAGTTTCAGTGGAGCAAGGATGGTATGATATATATTGCATTATACATCTACAAGGCCCACTTAAACAGTGGGCAGGATGCCCTGGACGGTTCAGTGGGACTGATTGTGTCAAAATAGTAGCCTACTTGTTGCAAGTGGAACATCTCAAAAGCAGACTCAAAAGGATGCAAATCAGGATGTAACATCCTTTGCTGCCACCTCCTGGTATAAAGGGATAGCTCATCTCTTTAACATCTTAAAAATAAGTTTCAAAAGGCAAAAAAACAACTGATGAGGATGACTGAACTGTCTACATGTCACACTTGACTACTTTAGAGAACTTAGCATTTCAAAAGCTCATGACAAATAGGGGAGAGACAAAACTAGAGTGCAAGACTTTTACATATAAATGAACATCTGTTACACAACAGTAATGATTGGTTTGCCAGAGCTGAACGGGAAGCAACAGTAGCGACAGCAGCAACTCAGCATGTTAGAGCCAATGCATGTGTCAACAGTTTTGTGTGTTTACTTCCACTGTCAGAAGGGGGAGAGAAAACTGCAGGTTTAAATGAACTTATTTACAAAACATTAATTAAATTGCACAAAAGATGAGATGTGGATGGCATTATAGCCATTGGTGTAAGTGAGTGGGCAGTATGGTGTTTTGGTGGCCAAAAGGCTAAAAGAACCTAACAGCAGTAAGATAGTCACTCCACAAAGACTAAAGTGGCAGCGGCAGCTTATATTGACTGGGAGTATAAGGCCCAGGTGCTCCCAGTCAGCCCAAGTGCCATCAACACAAACCTGCAAGAGAGGTACATTAGGTATGTTTGACTAATTAAAGACACTCTCAGCAATTCCACAAGTGTTAGTTCAACAAATCCATTTTAAGACTGATTTAAGGCAGACTGGCGGTCAGTGGTGTCTGAGGGGTAGGGGCAGAAAAAAATAAAAAGGGCCCAAGCTGCATGTAATGGAGTGATTGCCAGTGGTCAAAAAGCAGAGGCAGGCAAAACAAGCACCAGGTTGATAAAGTTAAGGCAACTGGCAGCATAGACAATAGGTCAGGGAATGAGTGTTAAATATCCTCACGTATAGTGAGGCTAAAGTCTGTTAAACTTGTACCTCATCATCAGCTTCAGTGTATAGATGTTTAGAAGCTGTTAAAATGTGTGGTTGCATGCATGTGTATTATCAGGCACATGTAGAAGTACAACGCAGTCCTTTTAGAAAGTCTGACACTTCTTTTTAATCTCACTTTAATCTTATAGCTTTTTCTTAAGTGATGTTTTCTTGTTTAGGGCGGCACGGTGATGCAGTGGTTAGCACTGTTGCCTCAAAGCAAGAAGGTCGTGGGTTCAAACCCCGGTTGCCCCGGCCTTTCTGTGTAGAGTTTGCATGTTCTCCCCGTGTCTGCATGGGTTCTCTCCAGGTACTCCGGCTTCCTCCCACCATCCAAAGACATGCAGTCTAGGTTAATTGGCGACCCTAAATTGTCCGTGGGCGTGAGTGGTTGTTTGTCTATGTGTGGCCCTGCGATGGACTGGCGACCTGTCCAGGGTGTACCCCGCCTTGCGCCCGATGTCAGCTGGGATGGGGCTCCAGCCCCCCTGCGACCCCGTATGCAGGATAAGCGGTTGACGATGGATGGATGTTTAATGTTGGATGTTATTTACTTTTATTATTTTGTTTTATTGTACAGCACGTTGTTTTGATATAAATAAAAAGCTATTATGTTGCAACTCAGCTTACTTTTATACTACTAAACTATGTTCATTATTATTATGAAGGTGTCTGCCAAAGTTTGTGTCTATCATGCCTGTGGTTTAGTTTTGCACGCACATCCTACTCTGACAATCACGTGTCTTATCAAAGTCAAAAACAAAATAAAACAAAATAAGTAACAATGTATGACACAAACACTTTCCTGTGTGTTAACACGGGGTTCAAGTATGATTATTTTGTGTTTACAAAATAAAGACGGACATAGTTCATCTGTTTTGCTTTTATTGAATGTCCTACAAACCCGTATGCGTGCTCCAATACAACAGCAGAACTTGTGAAATCATTTAAGACAACGCTTTACAAATATCAGTATGATGTTTTCATTCTACAGCACAAATGTTGCATCATTGTCTGGTTAACCAGACAATGCTTTGCTTTTGCAACATTTTTGCAAAAAACTTTTAAAAAGATAATTATTTGTATTAGATTTGTATTAACTTATTATGTGAGAACTCTACATTTAGAAATGCAAGACACCCATACAAACATCCTTTTTTCATACCTGTCCCACACAACTTTCAGAAAATATCTGCACCAGACCACACTATTTTAGTAAGATGAGATCCTAAATTGTTGTAAAAGTATCATTACAATACATTTTGTGTCATGTCTGTTAATTAACATCACTAAAAAAGCAGTCAAAGTCAAGCAACTAACAGTCAAAAGAGTAAACCAGCTCTCAAGAGGACGATGGCCACCGAGCCAAGGGGGGCTATGGCAGTGACGGCTCTGAAGCTGCCAGAGGGTGGAAGGTATGCATAACTTCATACATATTATCATTGGTGACCTGTGGGACCCTTGTTGTTTGTCTCCTGCTAGTCCTTTGTTTAACCTGTTGGTAGTGAAATAGCACAGTAGAGATTGTCTGCACTGTAGTAATGTAAGTACAGATATCAAATTACATTACTTATGTTATAAGACCATTTTAAGGTTTAAAGAAATAGAAAACTGAATTTTTGGACAAATGTTGACAGAGCATTCATTGGTTTGCTATGCAATCAGCATGTGAACTGAATATCTCAAGGGGGTAAACCTTGTGTTTACAGCAACTATGTGGTTTGGTGGGATGACTGATAATGTAGCTACTTGAATATTTTAGTTCAAGTACAAAGTGGTGTGTAGATAGGTCTGAACTCACCCTTGGGACAATTATCAGGATGAAGATCGTGTTTACCAGTGTGCTGATGGCAAAGGTAGCAATGATGATTAACCCCAGAGGTAGAGTTTTCTCACTGGATGGGATACAAGGCATTTCTACTGATCTGAAGCATGGTGCCACTTCTGTGTGGAATGACAAAAAGGCAACACCAAATAAAATGTACCGTCTCCACGCAAATGTGATGGCATTTGTAGAAAGAAAAATCTAACTATATTTTGTATTTCTTGTAAATTTCCAAAATGACTCAAATTCTCAACAGACCGGAGGGAGAGGTTCTCTAAAACTAAAAGAAGGTAGATATTTTATTTTGTCTTCTAGACATACAAATTTAAAGAAAAGAAAACATAGGCACTGTGGTCAACAATATCCAAATGTTAAGTATCACAAGTAAATCTCCCTTTTAACAGGTAGAAACCTTGAGCAGAAACTAGACTCAAGAGGAGCTGATATCAATACAAGTAATTGTTGCAATGATAATAATAGGACTAATAATAGTAATTGTAGCAGCACGTTGAGCAAGAACACTGGGGCATAACAAAGGGCTTATTGAGCGAGCCCTGAACCACCCCTTAGTTAACTATAGGCTTTATAGCATAATAAGGTACTATGAGCTCTTTATGATATGATGGTCCCTGACCTTAAGGGCTTTGTAGGTGAGGAGAAGGATTTTATATTCTATTCTGGATTTTACAGGGACCCTAAATCCTGACTTGAAACCCTCAAATAATCTATTGTTATTGTTGAACGTCATAAAACTGACACAATCAAGAGTGGGCTTAATTACAGCGACTTTAAAGGACTGTGGTACATAACCTGTTAGTAAAGACCGACTGATCATATCTAGTAAAGAAGTGCTAACTATGAGTAAAACCTCTATAAGCAGCCTAGTTGGGATGGGACAAGAGACAGGTTGATGGGTTGGATTAAGAAATCACTGAACTTAGTTGGTGAAGATTAATGGGAAAAAGCAGTCTAAAGATATATCAGCTTATACAGACCTTTCTAAGGTTCCTGAGTTTGAAGATAAATCGGTACTGGTTGAGGGCACGAGGCGATGAATTTTTGTCTCCAATAATTTCAATTTTATCATTAAAGAAACTCATGATGTGGTTACTACTGAAAACTATAGGAATACATTGTTCAATAGAGCTGTGACTCCGTCTGCCTGGCTACAGTGCTGAAAAGAAACCTGGGGTTGTTTTTATTTGCCTTTTTTAGTGATGAGGAGTAGGCTTCTCTGGCATTATGGAGGGCCTTCGTATATGTTTTAAGAATATCTTGCCAGATAAAATTAGATTCTTTCAGATTACATTGACATGTAAGAAGGATTTTAATATTTGATGTATCATATTTCATATCTGGTTGAGGTGGACCCCCCTTTTTTCTATACTGTTAAAAATGTTATAAATTCCCAATGTAAAATTTTAATCTGCAAGTATCTGGTAACTATAGCCATAAAACTTATGTGGTGGAGTAAAAAGTTTCCCAATTAGGTGTTTCCTCATGACTATGCATGTTAGAAGAAGATTTTAATGGGTAACTAAAAAAACATGCCTACTAAATGTATGCACTGTACCATGCTACTCCACCACTGTGTTATTGCTCAAAAGAAGACGTTGTGCAGTTTTTGAGAAGAAAAAAGAAAAACACACCTCTTACACAAAGTGTGTAGACATTGCAATGGACAGTTGTGACATCTTTGTAGACACAGCTGTAGATACCAGAGTCATCCACTGTTAGGTCAGTGATGGTGACCGTGTGGTTCTCCAGAGATCCATTTGTCTGAATTCTGTTTTTATATCTCTCTCGCGGGGTGATTTTTTCATTTGATCCACTGGAATAATAGTAAAACACCTCTTCCTTGCTGCTGAAATCATGATACAGATACATCCCATACCCTTCATTGATGCTGAGACATCCTGCAGAGAAACACTTCAAGGTGACATTCTCACCAGACTCTCTGCTCAGCACAATGTTCTCTGATATAAGAGAGACATACCATCTGATTAGACGCTCTAAAAACATACCACAAGACACAGCCATCTTCATTATTTAAACACTGACTAGATAACAGTATGAAAGCAGTAACTGAAACTATTTAGCACAATTTAAAAATTGACCATGGTCACATGCAGACTTCAACTACAGTGAATGTTCTAAAATGTTTTAAGGAAAGCAAATGGTCAAACCTGCACTGGCAGAAAAGCAGAACAACGATATGAACCAACAGAGTGGCACCATGATGCAGCACTGACTGCATACTGTGTTTGTTTCAACCCTATATACAGACAATACCACAAACAGTGCTTCCTTTTACTGTGGACTGTGATGTGTGGGGCTGATGTGTGGTTCAAAATAATTTCCTTATGATATAGATATATATACACACACAAGAAACTCGAAAAATTAGCATATCGTGCAAAAATGCATTTATTTCAGTAATTCAACTTAAAAGGTGAAACTAATATATTATATAGACTCATTACATGCAAAGTGAAATATTTCAAGCCTGTATTTGATATAATTTCGATGATTATGGCTTACAGCTTATGAAAACCCCAAATTCAAAATCTCAGAAAATTAGAATATTGTGAAAATGTATTAATAGAAAGTTAAGTGGAAGGGAAAAGTGTGGAAGAAAAAGGTGAACAAGCAGCAGGGATGACTGTAGCCTGGAGAGGATTGTCAGGTAAAGGCCATTCAAATGTGTGGGGCAGCTTCACAAGGAGTGGACTGAGGCTGGAGTTACTGCATCAAGAGCCACCACACACAGATGGGTCCTGGACATGGGTTTCAAATGTTGTATTCCTCTTGTCAAGCCAGTCAGAAGCGTCTTACCTGGGCTAAAGAAAAAAGAGAACTGGTCTGTTTCTCAGTGGTCCAAAGTCCTCTTTTCTGATGAGAGCAAATTTTGCATCTCATTTGGAAACCAAGGTCCCAGAGTCTGGAGGAAGAATAGAGAGGCACACAATCCAAGATGCTTGAAGTCCAGTGTGAAGTTTCCACAGTCTGTGTTGGTTTGGGGAGCCATGTCATCTGCTGGTGTTGGTCCACTGTGCTTTATTAAGTCCAGAGTCAGCGCAGCCGTCTACCGGGACATTTTAGAGCACTTTATACTTCCTTCAGCGGGCGAGCTTTATGGAGATGCTGACTTCATTTTCCAGCAGGACTTGGCACCTGCCCATACTGCCAAAAGTACCAAAACCTGGTTCAGTGACCATGGGATAACTGTGCTTGATTGGCCAGCAAACTCGCCTGATCTGAACCCCATAGAGAATCTATGGGGCATTGCCAAGAGAAAGATGAAAGACATGAGACCGAACAAGTCAGAAGAGCTGAAGGCCGCTATTGAAGCATCCCGGTCTTCCATAACACCTCAGCAGTGCCACAGGCTGATAGCATCAATGTCACGCCGCATTGAGGCAGTAATTCATGCAAAAGGAGCCCAATCAATACTTTTCAGAGGGCTAACATTTCTGTATTTAAAATCCTTTTTTTTTTTTATTGTGTTATGTAATATTCTAATTTTCTGAGATTTTGAATTTGGGGTTTTCATAAACTGTACGCAATAATCATTGAAATTATATCAAATAAAGGCTTGAAATATCTCACTTTGCATGTAATGAGTCTATATAATATATTAGTTTCACCTTTTTTGAGTTTCACGTGTGTGTGTGTGTGTGTGTGTGTGTGTATATATATATATAGCCACATAGATACATTATATAACTATCTTATGATGTTAAAATATTAATTCTAACAGTGTTGCTCCAAATATTTAATATAAACTTATCAACTTGTTTGGTTATATTTCGACTGTGGTAGATATATAACATGTCACGGCTGCTAGTTCAACTCCACAATCATCACCTTCATGGAATACAATAGGGGAGAGCAGGGTGATTTGAGTCTGTGGGGAATTTGTGCCACCCCTTGTTTCTCTGCAGCACTAGACAAAATTGGTCATGTGACCACACTGAGGAGTCATCCATTTTACTCACCCTGTGATGGAGAGAGGCCCATGGAATAAGTGATGAGCACATTTAAGATCAAAAAACTGTTTTCTGCAATTCAAAGGGATTTTTTTATGTTCAAGGAGTCATGATTCTTGTGTCTGAACAATTACAGACAGGTTTGAGAAAATCCTATGCATGTGTGCTTTAGGAATTTACAATATGAGGCTATATTGTTAGCATGACATTACCCTCAAACTGCTGGATGTTTGTTAAAATGTGCATGATGTGGTAATTTGAGCCAGATATTTGACTGTAATTTTACATTGTATTCTTATGCATCACTGAAATTATATGACATTATGGATTTTAGACCAGAAAACATCATCACATATGAAACAACTAGGAATTAAAGCTGTAGGCAGCGTTGGGCGGGCCCTTGCATATTCTGGAGCTCTGCCGGTGCGGCTGTGAATTTGTTACGCGGTTATGTCGCCGCATGAAGGTGTTATATGTCACTTCCTGTGTCCCCTATGTGGAGCTACATAGCACTTGCCGCTATGAATATAAATCGGTATTGGTGTGTAGATGTCTGCGGGGTGGGACAGTTATCAAGCACGTAAAGTTTGTTTCAGATGTGAGCATGTACACTGAACAATAATGTACCCAAACAATAAAATAAATTCCTTTTATATTTCCCTGCCTTGTTGTTTATGTGTACATACAGAGGAAGAATGTGAGAACAGCGCACATTTCATCGTTACTGTGTGTTAGAGCATGGGAGAACAGTGGATACTTTTAATACAGCCCACACCCCTAATACTGTGTAACTATAACAAGTAGAGAACAGAAGAAAAATATGTTCTTTCTTTACAACTGTCTGCATAGCTTATTCATGTGTAATGAATGAAAATAAATAGGCCTACTAGGCTCCTCTCCACTTTGACATTTAAGATTAGCTTGTTTGATCCACCTTCATACACATGTGACATTACTGTACAACTTCAGAAAGGTGAGTTGTTTTCTGCTCCAGCCTGCCTAAAAGAAAAGCGTTTTTGGGATTAAATGGACTTTATTAGCTGCTGCAGTGCAGGATGAACTCAGAATAGACCCATTTCTCACCTTATTATTCTAAATCATGCAACGAAGAAGAAGAAAAGCATAATAAATCCTGGGACAAAATCTGTCCACAAATACTGTACAGCATGTAGTCTGATGAACAAGACTTGTGTTATAGCTGACTTGGGCAGTGAAATGTTTAATTTTTTTAATTCATGTGGTCATAGTTGTCCACAACTCAAATCAGAATATAAGAAGAAATGTTTTATACCACCTCAAGAAGGCTTCCTATCAGAAAGGTAGGAAGGTATTTACACACATGCGTCTTTGTAAAGAGAGAAACGGACAGAAAAAGTCTCTAACTCTGCCTGTCAGCTCGCTCTGCTCTGTTAAAACTGAATTTACCATACAGAATTGAATACGAGTGCGCTCCAGATTTAGCTGCAGCCAGCTGACCGTGTGCTTCTCCCTATACCGCAGTTCTGTGTCCATGCATGCAGCAAACTGAAAGCACTGTCTGTCGGAGCGTCTACGTGAAAAGAGAAGGAAGACATTGCTGGTAGTATTGTCTTCAGAGTTGTTAAACACCTCAGCGCACCGAAGGAAGCCATCTGACTGTGTGAGGGGCAAGATCGTTGATGTCTGCAGGTAGAGTAGGAGCTCTCCTGTCTGACTGGTCCACCAATAGCAGAGAAGATGACCCCTTGAGACACAGCCCCTCCTCATTTGCATAATGAGGCAGAAATGCATACAGAAAAAAAAATACAAAGGAAGAATAAAACAGACAAAAATATTAAAACACACACATAAAAATACATTAAAAAAATTAGTAATAAATAAAGTTGAATAAACAAATAAGGTAATTATAACAAAGGTGAATAAGTAAAGGTATTATATTATATAATAATAATACTATTAAAGGCACTATTAAAGGCGTATTAAAGGCACCAATTAAAATATATACATTTATGTCTCCTTTTATAATTTAATTACTACCTACATTTATTTACTTATTTTTTTGTGTATTTAATTGGATGCTTATTTATTTATTGAGCATTTATTTATTTCTGTATTTATTTCTGACTGTGTCAGGATCGGTCCTCCATAGCGGGGTGGGAGAGTTATCAAGCACGTAAAGTTTGGTTCAGATGTGAGCATGTACACTGAAGTTACAACAACTTCCTGTGTCATGGCGAAGACTTGATCTTTGACGCCACGCCACGGACACACCCATTGACGAAAACTCGCAAATAGCACAACTTTTCATCTTCAATGCCTTTAGAAGGCACAGCACAATTTTGAAGTCGGTCGGACTACATCCCTAGGAGGAGTTCGTTAAAGTACGAAGTGTGTAAATCATCCAAAATTTGACGTAAAATTCAAAATGGCCGACTTCCTGTTGATTTTAGGGCATCGCTCCAAGAGGCTTTTTTATGCGTCTGGACAAGATACACGTACCACACAAAATTTGTGCACGTAGGTGAAACGTGCGGCGGGGGCTGCTTCGTTAAAAGTCACTTCCTGTTGCCAGCAGGTGGCGCTATGACTGTGGGTGAATGTCGGCATGTACATGTGTTCAGGGCGGGACTCTCATCCTACATGTACAGTTTGGTCCAGATGTGAGCATATACACTGAAGTTACGACAACTTCCCGTGTCATGGCGAAGACTTGATCTTTGACGCCACGCCACGGACACACCCATTGACGAAAACTTGCAAATAGCACAACTTTTCATCTTCAATGCCTTTAGAAGGCACAGCACAAATTTGAGGTCGGTCGGACTACATCCCTAGGAGGAGTTGTTAAAGTACGAAGTGTGTAAATCATCCAAAATTTGACGTAAAATTCAAAATGGCCGACTTCCTGTTAGGTTTAGGCTATGGCTCCAAGAGACTTTTTTGTGCGTCTGGACAAGATACACGTACCACAGAAAATTCGTGCACGTAGGTGAAACTAGCGGCGGGGGCTGCTTCGTTAAAAGTCACTTCCTGTTGCCAGCAGGTGGCGCTATGGCTGTGGGTGAATGTCGGCATGTACATGTGTTCAGGGCGGGACTCTCATCCTACATGTACAGTTTGGTGCAGATGTGAGCATGTACACTGAAGTTACGACAACTTCCTGTGTCATGGCGAAGACTTGATCTTTGACGCCACGCCACGGACACGCCCATTGACAAAAACTTTCAAATAGCACAACTTTTCATCTTCAATGCCTTTAGAAGGCACAGCAGAAATTTGAGGT